TATTTAAACCGTTGCGTATATTAGCTGCGACAATTAAGATGCTACGACCGAAAAAAAGTGATTAACAGATTATTGGATTTATATCTGATTGGCCAGAGATGTTCAGGGTGACGTATAACTAACCTGCATAAAACAATGGAGAAAAAAACAGAAATTTTCTAACTTTTCGGACAATATGGTCTGATAAAGAGTACATTTATTTACATGTTTAAGCCAGTGATTTCCCTACGACTTTAAGAAGGATCACAGTTGTTATTTTGAACTTGTGACTTACAAGTTCTGACTCTCAGTTAAAATGAAAACCCTTAAACAAAAAAAACCCCAAAAGTTTGTTGAAGATGAGCCTAGACTCAGCCAGGTAAGGTAAGACCTTTCTAATAATCTTCGATGACAGGGTGCAGAGTGAACGTAAAAAATTAAATAACACTGTTTGTCATTCTGGATACACTAGACCTAATGACATAACCCCCCTGCCCAAAAAAACAGAGAATATCCCCAACCTTATGTAATAGAGCCTCATATATTTGTTTATATGTCAATGGTTGACCACACTGTGCTACATGTTTCACTGGTTGAAAACTTTGCAGTTTTACTGAACGTTCAGGCATGTTGGACAGGAATATAATCACCAGCAGCAGCAGTCAAGGTTAGCTTAGCATTAAATATGAGCTACACTTATAAACAAAAATAGAAAGCAATAAATTAGGGTAAAATCTAAGTATCATCACTCGTACAGAGCTAAAGGCTAATGCACAGCCAACTGCATAAAGGCATAAGATCTCCCCCTTGGTCTAAGGCCGAAGCCTTCTTCTATTGCATACATCAACCAGAAGGTTAAAGCCTCCAGATTTATTATTTCCACTGTTTCACACAGCAGAATAAACGGTAAACAGACGGAAACTATCAAGCGCACGGACTTTTCAGACATTCACTTGGTAAAACTAGCGAGAGTATAAGAAGAAGAAGAACGGAGCGGCACATTTTAAGAAGATTACGGTTCTTCCTTGGCTATCCTTGTTGGGATCCACAGTGTACGGTACTGTGTTTCCACACCTATTCATCGAGTCGCTGGAGGGACGCAGGGAGAAGACGCACAATACTTATTTGCTCAAGCAGGGGTGGTTAAAACCCATCAAGACTCGTCTTAACGGGACGACACAGACGCAGATCCCTGACAAGCCGTCGTTAGTGGTTGACCAGCCAACCAGTAAGCGGTTCCAATGCCGTTCTGTTGACAACTAGTCTGTTTACAATTGCATCCAGCAGGAGGACTCTAGTCCTTAACAAATATAACAATAAAAAAACAAAACAGAAGGAGCTTTTTTATAAATACAAAGTTTGATTGTTAATAATCCAACTTTTTTAGGCAGCAAAACCACAGATATCTGCATCACATTGGCATAAACTCTGTAACAGTAATAATGCACAATTAAATAAACCTAGAGACGAGTTTTAGATTGAATCCAGCAGCTCAGTGGAAGAACTTTAAACTAGACCAAGGCCGCGGTTTAGGTCTAGATGTTAACAGTAGAGCGACATCCTGCTGCGCCGCATGGCCTCGCTGATCAAATAGGCAGGGCTCACCTCCGGCTCCTCCTTCATCACCACAATGTTCTGCCATTCGCCGCACTGGTTGGACTTTTTGATTGTATCCACCACGCAAAGAGCATACAGGCAATCCTCAAAAGTGGCGGCCATGGTCAGCGGCCGCCCATCCCAGGTCCGCCGGTCGTCCTGGTCCTGGAAGGCCTGCCGCACGGCCTGGATCATCCGGATCGTCCCGGTGAGGTAAGGGGCCGGAATGTCGCTGAAGGCCTTTTCCGGCAAGGAGGACTTCTCTAGAGGAGTGGCGTCTTTGAGCAGGAGCTCAGGACCGCCGGCGCTCCCACCACTGTTCTTCTGTCCGTACAGGTCCGTCCCGGTGACCATCAGTCTCCCCACGGTCCCCACGACGATCACCTCCTGGCGAAACTCTCCGGGGACGTTGAAGTTGAGGGTGACGGTGCAGCAGGCGCCTCCTTCCAACACCATCTGGAACGTGCAGAAGTCGTCGCTGGTTATCTGCCGGATGCCCCGAATGTGGTCCGTCTGCTTGACGAACGTCTTTAGGAAGCCGTGGACCTTGACCGCACGCTGGCTGGTCAGAAAGGTGAGGAGGTCGATGATGTAGCTGCCCACCGAATGCAATCCGCCGCCTCCCATCAGATCGTCACAGCTCCAGTTGTATTTCTTGCCCAGGAGACTGCCACTGTGGACCTTATGGACACAACAGATAATTCTTTTTAATTTTTTGCAACAAGAAACCCAAAGTGATTCATTGAGTCATTCAGTGCAAATATCTCAAGGTCAAGCAGCAAGCGTTTTGCTTGTAGGTCCTACCTGGGCCTCACAGACCAGAAGCTCTCCGATGTACCCTTCCTCCAGCAGTTCCTTCATCCGAACAAAGGCCGGCAAGAAACGCAGCACATTTCCCATAATGCTCAGCAATTTTGGATAGTACTGGGCAGCTGACATCATCCGGAAAGCGTCCAGAGGAGTGGCGGTCCTATCGCAAATGACGTTCTTGCCAATACCTATGAAGAAAAAAGAAAAAACAGAAACTGATTTGTATTCCTCAGCTGGAGAATCGGTTGATTTATTTACTCGATCTTTAATGAGACTGAGGTACAACTGAAGGTGCGAGAGGCAAGGAGCACTTTGAGTGGATTTAACGACGTCTACAGATTTCCTCCTGTGCACGAAAACATCAATTCCCATCAGGGGAACAATGGATCGCTGCAAAATGAGGCAACTCCCTCAGCAGCTGACTCTGAGATGACTGGAGCTGTGGAGGATTTCCCCTCAGAGTCCAGAGACGTGTAAACGTAAACAAATGTGTGGCATATATTTGGTTATATTAATATATTGTGGCCAACCGGGAGAAAAAAACCCTAATAGGATCACTAAGATCATGGAGCGTAGATAAGATCAACTGGTATCGCTGGCGGCTCAGCAGAGGGAAATAAAAACAAGAGTAGAAAGAAGCTTTAGCCGCAGTAGGAAACATAATTAGAGTGTTGTCCAGAGGAGACGGCCAGCGGTGGGAGGAAAACTGAGAAAATAAGACTTTAGAAAAACAGCAGCAGCAGCGCAGCTTCATATGACAGATGGTATCAGGAATCCAGGGTGGATCTGAAACGCTTGGGGCAGTGGTGATGAGTGGGGCTGTCTGCGACACATTTTCCACACTAACCTGTAAAGTGTAATCAGAAGCTAAAGTGTCTATTAGTCATTTCCAGTACTTTCCTTTATTCCTCGTTAAATTTTCCCCATATACTTCCTTCCTTCACTCACTAACTCCCTAATTTCCCTTTATTTATTTACCCTCCATTCCCTTTCTCTTTCCCTTCACTCTTGCTTTCTTTTCCTACAGAACCAACCGGATCCAGAGGACTGATCCTGGATCCTTGCTTCCCTGAACAAACTGGACCCACAGAGAATGGATTTATTCACCAGAAAGCCCTTTACCACAGCTGCACAAAAGTGATCAACCAAAGACATCTCCGAAACTGTCCAGTTTGCACCTGGATGGGAAAACTTGGGGGGGAAAAAGCCCCCCAGTAGAAGACTTTATATAAGCGTCTTGTTAAAAATCAAACGCCACAAACTTGTTTTTATACATTATTAATTGGATTGCTGGTGAAGGTTCTCAGTCATCCAGGTCATAGTCATTCCAAAAATGTAAAAGAAAAACAATCCACTGCACTTTGTTTCTGAGTTGAAGAAGTTTTGCTTCCCTTACAGGAAACTTTTTCCATTTAAAATGTCAGAAATAGAGCTGAGTTCCAAGCTTTATAGTGTAGCCCAACAAAGTCTTGTTTTGGCTTAGAAAACATGCAAATTGAACTGGAAGAATGGTTCTGCCCCTTTGTAATGGGGAGTCGTTGAGTTCTTTGTTAGCCTGCCAAACCCGATACTGGTCTATGCCTTTGAAAAGGGGGGTTGTTAGGGGTATTGCTGGCCTTGCTGACCAGGAAAGGTGACTTGGTCCCCTGCAATAGCGCCGAGTTCAAAGCTTTATTGAGAGGACCAAAAACAGGCCTTGTTATGGCATAGTAGACTGCCATAACAGAAGTAGAAAAACTGGTTAGCGACATCTGATGTGTTCGGTTGCAGAAGTCTACTCTGCAGCCGAACACATCAGATGTCGCTAACCAGTTTTGCTGCTATGCTTCTGCACCGTCGGTCTGAAATTTCTAGAGAAGCACAGCAGTTTCCCACCAAAGCGCAACGGGGAGCCTATTGGAGAAATTGCGAGAACTTCGGCAGTGCCGGCGGGAGTGTTTATCTTCAAAAACAACAAAGGCGTGTCTGCAAGATATCACAGCCACGGGATATAGATCTAGAGTTGCTAGACATGGAAGAGGAACAGGTTCTGTTAATGGAGCAAACCTCCTTGATTAACCTTTTGTCGTAGTTGTCCGTTGTAGTTGTTCCTCAGTTTTAAAAAATGGCGCTCCCCGGCACCGAAACAAGGACGACCACACAGACAGCCGGAAAGGCAAACCAAGGACCAATCACAGCGAGTTTTGTCTGTTCGCTTCAGCTTGAGGTCTGCTCTGGTTTGCAACCGTCTAAGGATTTTTTTGAGAGACAGATTTGACGTTTGCAGAGGCTATGCGTCAGAAGCATAAGGCCAAAGATTTATCTTATTCTATTTTTATGTGTTTATGTATTTTAGCCTTCAGTTTTTATCTTACGTTCCTTAACTGTGATTCCTGTACAGCACTTTCGTCAACCCCAGTTGTTTTAAATGTGCTTTATAAATAAAGTTTGAGTTGACTTGAGTTTAGAAAACAGGCATGTTTTCTAAACAGTTGTCGAGTTATAAAAAGATTTTCTACACTGCGTCAGATGAAGGAGAATTACAATGTAACCAGCTCCTCATTAGAGTGATTTTTAGCTGACACTTGTTGTTAAAAGTTAAACGTTACCCTTCCTTTCTTTCTTTTCATCCTTTCCCTTTTCAATGTTTATTTTCATCCTTTTTTATTCATTCATTAATTTCCCTTTATTCCGTCTTTCTATCAGCTCTTTACTCATTTCTAGTGATGTTATGAGATGAGCCGAGGCTTCGAGGCGTGTGTCGAGTAATGGAGGGGGCATTTCCCAGAAGTGCGTTTCGAGGCGTGATTCATTTAGAGGCGGTGCCAAAATTGGTGACTTCTGAGGCCTCGCTACCGTGATACCAGGTGACCGCTTCGGGAAGCGGTTCAGAAAGCGCAAGAATTTTGACAGGCATCTAAACAGCCTCAGTGTTCAGTCAAGATGTGGGAGTTTGGAGGAGAGCTTCTGTCAGCTGGATGGACTTTGGATAGATTCTAAGAATAGATTGGTTGGAAAAACAACCAATCTAGTTGCTTAAAGCTAATTTGGTTTGAATAAACAATGTAATGATCAAAATTTGAGCAAACCACCGGACAAAGCCAGTGTCAACACGTCAGTATTTAGAAGTATTTTCTCCTCACTACGTTTATTTACATAGGTGGCGTAATCTTTAAGACACAGGCTCTCACTCTAGAGGTTGATGGATCAAGACCGGTCCTTGACTTTTAAAAGTTGCAATTAAACTTAATATTTTGGCTGATGAGACTAATTTGCATTGCCCCAACGAGTAAAAATATAGATTGGGTAAATTAGGTAAATTAGAAGTTAAACACAACTTCCAACCTGATTAAAACCAAAAAAACATGGAAAAACTATCATGTTTGAATAAAAATTACTAACACCTTTCATTTGGCTCATCATTACCCAATTTGTGCAAACACTGTCACTGTCTGCTTTAGTTTATTTCACTAAAATGGCAGAAAAACTGTGCACCTTAAATGATTGTTCTAATAAATTTTACACTTAAAAAAAAACTTACAAAAGATTTTATTATACACACCAACCATTAACAATTTAAAGGGAACTTAAAAGGGGGAAAAAAGAAAAACAGTTGCAAAAAAAATCACTGATTTTATTTAAAACTGTAGTTCTGCTTTCCACCAGTAGGTGGTGACATGTTCACATGAAGCCTCATGAACTGTGGGGATCGTTGAAGCAATTTGGCCAAACGGTTCAATGCCTCATGAGGCTTCATGTCACCATCACTACTCATTTCCTTTATCCTTCCTTTTTCTTTTCCTCTTTCTCCTTTATTCATTTCCTATATCCTTCATTTTCCTCCTTCTCCTTTATTCATTAATTCTTTGTTGTTTTTTTCTCTTTACTTTCCTCCTTCCTTTAATCATTTCCTTCCTTGCTCCTACATTAGGGGTGACCGTGCTGAATGCCAAACCTCTACATTAGGCATTCCCAAATTCAGTCCTTGAGGGCCGCTGTCCTGCAGGTCTTAGAGGTTTCTCTGCTTTAGAACATCTGATTCTAATGATTGCATTTCAGCAAAAGCCTGTTAATCAGCAATCAATGAAAATCAGCTGTGCAGAAGCTGGAAAACCTTAAAAGCCTGCAGGACAGGGGCCCTCGAGGACCGACTTTGGGGATGCCTGCTCTACATGTCCTGCATTGGCAGCTCTGACATCATGCCGTGTTTAAAGTGGGAATTGCTGCTTTTCCTGCAGTCGTGCCTCAGGGGTCACGGGTGAGCAAACAGTTTTAAATATGGAGGCGACCTAATAATCTGCTATTACCTACAATTGGCTAGGTCAGGGCATAAATCCGTCTGACCCAGTTCACCCAGTAAGCAGCTGGAGCTGACACACAAAGCCAGAAACAACAGAGGAACCATCGCCTTATTTTTCCTTCTTTTTCAGCAGGAACACAGAGGACTGGTTAATTGGTAGATTCCTCATAGATCTGCTGTTTTTCTCTCATTCATGAAGTAGCTACAACATAACTAGAGCCGTTTAACATAGCACTTTTAATAAACATACTAACATGTCTACCGAGGTCCCGTCGAATCAGCAATGACCTTCTGATTTTCGGAAGCAAAGATTTGAAAGATCAAGGTTTTAACACAGTCTGTTTATAGATATACCTCTTTAAAAAGGAAGAGTTATGTGTTGAGCAATCAAAATTATTAAGCTTTGACTTCTGCGACCATTTCTAGAAATATTACACAGAAATCTTCAGGCCAGCATCACTTTGCTCTCGTTAGGGTTTAAATTGATCCCGTTGAAACAACCGACCTGGACGTCCATCAAGAAGAGGTGACTTTGAAGGTTTGCATTAAATGAGCTTAGCCATGAGACACTGGTACAACCCCAGACCATGATCTAGGCCACATCGCAGCTGTTTACCTCATCTGCACACGCTGATCCATTTCAATCACTTTCTCCTTCCTCTCTGCTCAACATAATCCTGCCAGAGAATCGCAACTTTGACTTTGTGATTATTAAAAGTCGGCTTGATGGAAGATTGTTACTGAACTATATTGCTGTGTTAAAGAATTGGACCTGTAGAGTTAGCCAAGTAATAATTTTATGAAAACAAAAGGTTTGCTCTACACACTGGTTAGAAAACTGAAAGGGAGATTCATCCAGAGGAAAAAAACCCACCAGATTTTCACTAAAAATGGCTTTACTTTACAAAG